AAAGCCTCCTTGTTCATCTGCTATCCTATTCTCCGTCTTACTCTTAATTCTTTCAATTATAACTCTACCCATACACTTTACCAGGTACACTCAACAGACTTATTCCCCCTATAATTTTTGCACTCTCTTTTTATCCCCTTTGCTTTATACAAAGGAACTATGCATGCTCTCTGCCAATCCCTAGGTACCTTACCCTCTTCCATACATTTATTAAATAATTGCACCAACCACTCCAAAACTATATCCCCACCTGCTTTTAACATTTCTATCTTTATCCCATCAATCCCGGCTCCCTTACCCCCCTTTCATTTTACCTACTGCCTCACGAACTTCCCCCACACTCACAACTGACTCTTCCTCACTCCTACAAGATGTTATTCCTCCTTGCCCTATACACGAAATCACAGCTTCCCTATCTTCATCAACATTTAACAATTCCTCAAAATATTCCTTCCATCTTCCCAATACCTCTAACTCTCCATTTAATAACTCCCTCTCCTATTTTTAACTGACAAATCCATTTTCTCTAGGCTTTCTTAACTTGTTAATCTCACTCCAAAACTTTTTCTTATTTTCCAACAAAATTTGTTGATAACATCTCACCCACTCTCTCATTTGCTCTCTTTTTACATTGCTTCCAAACCCCTCTCTTAACTTCTCTCTTTTTCCTCCATATACTCTTCCCTCCTTGCATCACTTCTACTTTGTAAAAACTTCTCATATGCTAACTTTTTCTCCCTTACTACTCTCTTTACATCATCATTCCCAAATCGCTCCTCTTCCCTCCTGCACCCACTTTCCTGTAACCACAAACTTCTGCTGAACACTCTAACACTACATTTTTAAACCTACCCCCTACCTCTTCGACCCCATTGCCTATGCTCTCATTAGCCCATCTATCCTCCAATAGCTGTTTATATCTTTCCCTAACTGCCTCCTCTTTTAGTTTATAAACCTTTACCTTCTCTTCCCTGTTTCTTCTATTCTCCTTGTATCCCATCTACCTTTACTCTCAGTGTAGCTACAACTAGAAAGTGATCTGATATATCTGTGGCCCCTCTATAAACATGTACATCCTGAAGTCTACTAAACAGTCTTTTATCTACAATACATAATCCAACAAACTACTGTCATTTCGCCCTACATCATATCGTGTATACTTATTTATCCTCTTTTTCTTAAAATAGTATTACCTATAACAAAACCCCCTTTCTATACAAAGTTCAATCAAAGGGCTCCCATTATCATTTACACCTGGCACCCCAAACTTACCTACCAAACACCCTCTCTAAAAGTTTCTCCTACTTTAGCATTCAAGTCCCCTACCACAATTACTCTCTCACTTGGTTCAAAAGGCTCCTAACATTCACTTAACATCTCCCAAAATCTCTCTCTCTCCTCTGCATCCTCTCTTCTCCAGGTGCATACCGCTTATTATGACCCACTTCTCGCATCCAACCTTTACTTTAATCCACATAATTCTTGAATTTACACATTCAATTCTCTTTTCTCCTTCCATAACTGATCATTTAACATTACTGCTCCCCCTTTCCTTTGCTCTAACTCTCTCAGATACTCCAGATTTAATCCCATTTTTTTTCCCCCCCACTGAAACTCTCCTACCCCCTTCAGCTTTGTTTCGCTTAGGCCAGGACATCCAACTTCTTTTCATTCATAACATCAGCAATCATCTGTTTCTTGTCATCCGCACTACATCCACGCACATTTAAGCAACCAGTTTTATAAAGTTTTTCTTCTTCTCTTTTTTAGTAATTGAAATACAGGAGAAGGGTTTACTAGCCCATTGCTCCCGGCATTTTAGTCGCCTCATACACACGCATGGCTTACGGAGGAAAGATTCTTTTCCACTTCCCCATGGACAATAGAAGAAATAAAAAGAACAAGAGCTATTTAGAAAAAAAGGGGAAAAACCTAGATGTATGTATATATATATATATATGCATGTGCGTGTCTATGAAGTGTGACCAAAGTGTAAGTAGGAGTAGCAAGATATCCTGTTATCTTAGCGTGTTTATGAGACAGAAAAAGAAACCAGCAATCCTACCATCATGCAAAACAGTTACAGGTTTTTGTTTCACAGTCATCTATATTTTAAAATAATATAATATATATATAATATATATATATATATATATATATAATATATATATATATATATATATAATATATATATATTTTAATATAAAAATATATATATATATATAAAATAATATATAATATATAAAATATATATATACATATATATATATATACATATGTATATATATATTATATATATATATTTTGCTTGTAAAATTCATATGTGATGTGACCTAAGCGTAAGTAGAAGTAGCAAGAAAGTACCTGAAATCTTGCATGTATCTGAGACAGAGAAAAGACACCAGCAATCCTACCATCATGTAAAACAATTACAGGCTTTCGTTTTACACTTACCGTCCTGCCAAGTGAGTGTAAAACGAAAGCCTGTAATTGTTTTACATGATGGTAGGATTGCTGGTGTCCTTTTTTCTGTCTCATGAACATGCAAGATTTCAGGTACGTCTTGCTACTTCTACTTACACTTAGGTCACACTACACATACATGTACAAGCACATATATACACACCCCTCTGGGTTTTCTTCTATTTTCTTTCTAGTTCTTATTCTTGTTTATTTCCTCTTATCTCCATGGGGAAGTGGAACAGAATTCTTCCTCCGTAAGCCATGCGTGTTGTAAGAGGCAACTAAAATGCCGGGAGCAAGGGGCTAGTAACCTCTTCTCCTGTATATATTACTAAATGTAAAAGGAGAAACTTTCGTTTTTCCTTTTGGGCCACCCCGCCTCGGTGGGATACGGCCGGTGTGTTGAAAGAAAGTATATATATATATATATATATATGCTTGTACATTCATATGTGATGTGACCTAAGCGTAAGTAGAAGTAGCAAGATGTACCTGAAATCTTGCATGTATCTGAGACAGAGAAAAGACACCAGCAATCCTACCATTGTGTAAAACAATTACAGGCTTTCGTTTTACACTCGCGTGGCAGGACAGTAGTACCTCCCTGGGTGGTTGCTCTATACCAACCTACTTCTTTCTTTCTTTCAACACACCGGCCGTATCCCACCGAGGCGGGGTGGCCCAAAAGGAAAAACGAAAGTTTCTCCTTTTACATTTAGTAATATTTACAGGAGAAGAGGTTACTAGCCCCTTGCTCCCGGCATTTAAGTTGCCTTCTACAACACGCATGGCTTACGGAGGAAGAATTCTGTTCCACTTCCCCATGGAGGTAAGAGAAAATAAACAACAAGAACAAGAACTAGTAAGAAAATATTAGAAAACCCAGAGGGGTGTGTATATATATGCTTGTACATGTATGTGTAGTGTGACCTAAGTGTAAGTAGAAGTAGCAAGACATACCTGAAATCTTGCATGTTTATGAGACAGAAAAATGGACACCAGCAATCCTACCATCATGTAAAACAATAACAGGCTTCCATTTTACACTCACTTGGCAGGACGGTAGTACCTCCCTGGGCGGCCGCTGTCTACCAACCTACTACCTATTATTATTCTTAATCATGTATAGCATGAATATCATGCAGAGAATTTGGATAAAAATGAAAAATGTGGGATCACCATTAAGATTAGTCTGCCCAAAATGCTCATGCATGCTAGTGGCTTTCTTCTGTACTTATTATTTTATTACATGTAAATTACATTCTGTAATACTGGAGAAATAGTTTTTGTTGACAAGAGAAGAGTTATGGAGTCGGAGGTAAAAGGGGTGGGAGTTGTTCCAGGAAAGGTTGAAGGGGAGGCAAAATGAGGTTCTGAGTATTAAGGGATTAAGCATCCAGCAGGATTGTGTAAGCACATTAGGTAAAAGTTAACGGAGAGAAGTGGTTTTTTAATATACATGGTGCTGTGAGCAAGGTATGTAATTTTAATTAAGGGATTCAGCAAAACTGGTTAAGTTAATAAAATCCTAGAGGTAGGAAGGGTAGTGCCTGTGACATGAAAGAGGGATAGGAATGTTGCAGCTGAAAGGTGCAAAGAGTGTGAAGTTGGCACACCTCTGGAAAGAGCAACTGATTTGGGGGAGGGAGGGGAGGTATCACCCTGGCTTGGCCATCAAGTTTACAAAAATAAAGCAGAAACTGTGGCTATCTACCTAGACAGGATGACTCAAAGAAATAGTAATTCATCATTCATTCAACTGCTGTCTTGCCAGAAGTGTGCTACATCACAATTCAGATTACCATCACTCTGCAACATCCTCAAGCCTCCTTCAGAGTGCAGGCACTGGCCTTCCGACATTCAGGACTCAGATTCAACTAACCAGTTTCCCTTGATCCCTTCATAAAAGTTGCCTTGCTCACAGATGTAAAGACTGCCTGGATATTCAGAAAAGATGTACTCTCTCAGCCACACTTGCTTAAAACAAACCTGAAACAGTTGGGCCACTTAACCTACCTTTAGTACCTATTTTTTTTTTCTACTCTACCTATCCCAGTCCTTTCTCTTTCCATTCTTGCCATCCCTATAGTTAAACAAAAGTAAACGTCAACAGAGAGAAATGATATATAGTTTCACCACACTACCTGCTTAATAAAATGATTGCCAAAATGTAGTAAGCTTTAAATTACCGCACTGCACTATACATACTATATAATAATTTGGAGAAGAAAATGAACATAACAATTTGGAACATAATCCTATTTTCCTAGGCAGTAGGTTGGTAGACAGCAACCACCCAAGGAGGTACTACAGCCTGCCAAGCAAGTGTAAAACAGAAGCCTGTAATTGTTTTACATGATAGAAGGATTGTTGGTGTCTTTTTGTCTCAAACACGCAAGATTTCAGGTATGTCTTGCTACCTCTACTTACACTTAGGTCACACTACACATGCATGTACAAGCATATACATATACACACACACCCAGTAGTGGCCACTGAAGTTGGGGCCAGGAGCCATGTCTCAACCCCAGCAACCACAACTAGGCGAGTATAACTAGGCGAGTACACCCCTCTGGGTTTTCTTCTATTTTCTTACTAGTCCTTGTTTATTTCCTCTTATCTCCATGGGGAAGTGAAACAGAATTCTTCCTCCGTCAGCCATGTGTGTAGTAAGAGGTGACTAAAATGCCAGGAGCAAGGGGCTAATATCCCCTTCTCCTGTATACATTACTACGCAATTTTAAGAAACTTTTGCTTTTCTTTTTAGGTCAAGCTGCCTCAGCGAGATATGGCCAGTTTGTTGGAGAAAAAAAAATATATATTGTTATTAGCTTTCTGTACATCACTACTTTATGTGCAGTGTACATCAATTTTCAGGTTTTACTGGGGTACACCCAAATGGCATAAAACCCAAGAAATGGTGAAATAAAAATGGTCAGAATTACGATAAGTACATAATACTATTTCACATTTGCTGTACTTACTTCCATTCCAGCTATCAGCAAATTGTCACCCTCAAAATCTATAATGTTTTTAATTGTCACCGGTACCAAGTTCTGGGAGTGTCGTGCCTGAGGAGTTGACCACAAAATTTAATTATCAAACTAATACAATGCAACAATTATTCTACTAATCTCCAAATATTATATTTTCATAAACTACGTTAAACACTATCTTATTTCATTATTATTAAGAGTAGAGCATTAAATACAGGCCCAATAAGTGAGCTTACTGTATGATTATTGGATATTCACCAAAAAGAGCTAAGCCCATATGAGTTACCGACTGCTAAAATATAATAAACTGTTAAACAAAATTAATTTAAATATAATGCTGTTAATGTGCAAGGAAAGTATGGTTCAGCCTTTCCTCACTTAGCAATATACTACTTGTTTACCGACGACTAACCAGCATGCATACCTAAATGTATATTAGAGCTGATCTCCTCTATTCTGTTCATTACAACATACAGTGGACCCTCGGATATCGGCCGTAATCCGTTCCAGATGGTCGGCCTAAAACCAAAATGGCTGAAGACCGAAATAATATTTCCCATAAGAATTAATGTACATATATACAATTAATCCATTCCAGACACCCAAAAATATTAACAAATACATTTTTTAAAGATTAACTATAGTTTTACATACACAAAACAATGAGAAAGAAACAAAGCACTAATTTTACTAATAAATGAACATTACATACCTTTGTTGAAGACTTGTTGGCATGGAAGGTGAGGAGGGGTTACTTCCCTTTGTCTTTTACCGCCACTAGGACCAGCTTGAGTCACTGCACCCCTGTCGCACAAAAAAAATGTCCACTCTCTGCCTGCCTACTATACTCCCTGCCTCCCTGCCTGCTACACTCCCTGCCTCTATGGGTGCCTGCCTTGAATTCTATCGTGTTTCTCACTTTCTTTACCAAAGGAACTTCACTAGGTACTTTCTTTGGGCCCAAGGTTGCTTATTTCGCAGTTGCACACAATCAATAACCACAAAAACAATGGATTATAGCAAAATGTTTGTATAAATGCACAGAGGCTTCCTCACTCACCCAGAGACACAGCCAGACCGACTCACGAATGTGGTGGAGCGGCGGATGGATGCATCCAATACATCAGGTAACCGAAATAAAGGCCGATAACCGGGACAGAGTTTTGGCCAAAAAATTAGACGAAAATTGAATTGGCCGATATCTGGAATGATTGATAACTGAGGGTCCACTGTACAGTACACTACTGTATAAACGGCGTTAAGTGAGGAGAGGCTGTACTGTAGAGTACTTTAAGTCCCAAACTAACACAATGTAGCTCTTACATTTCTTATAGTAAGCAGTATAAAGAACACAGAACCACCATCTACTCACCTTTTTTTGATCCTGTCCACCTGGCGAGGCAAACTGATTCTGAGAGTTCATGAAGCCTCCATCATTACCACCACCATACCCACTATCAAATCCACCTGAAAAGTTGGCGATATTAACTAGGAAAGGAGAGGATATTTTCGTTCTCTAAATCACCCTACATAGGTGGAATACCCAAATATTAACACAACTGAAGAATTATATCCCAATTTAAAAAGAAATTTTTAACATACAACACAGCACATTAAGAAAAAAAAATGTAGCCTAGTTTCTCTGGATTAACCCCAAAGGTTTATTAAACCAGGTACAAATTTACACAATTTGTTGATATTTACAATTGTCTTGCATAGTAACATGTGTAAATTACCTAGAATACCCCAAAAGTAAGGAAAAAACAATTTATTTCCACTGGTACCCTTGAAATACTTTTTAGCAGTCTAATTATTATACACGATTATTAATAATAAGAATTAACCCTCTAACTGTCCAAACATAGATCTCTGTTTCCGTGCAGAGCGCTCCACCCTTGATTTTCTCCATAAGAAAGAATGTAAAAAAAAAAAAATGTAGATCTACATTCGAAGTGTTACACGAGCAAACGTAGATCTACGTTTGGACAGTTTAAGGGTTAAACACACTGCAAATGTAATGCATGAAAATGAACTATAAGAATACAGTGAGTAAATCTAATACATGAGAATGAATTACATGAGCATTAAAAGAAGAAATTAGCTGAATAGAAATTACATTAATGAGGTATAACCTCAAGAAATCACATTCCTTCTTCTCTGTGGCTTCACTCACTAAGTGCTTCCCAGTTCTTTTCCTGAGACAGGCCTCAACATGGTCAGAGAGTTCATTCCACATTTTCACTGCTGTGTAGCAGAAAGTGTTAGTGTAGCTTGACCAAGAATGCCAAGCAGTGTAGCTTAATTGTGTATAGCTTAATTTCACTGGCATACTTATGTCCACTTTGGAAATAAGTCACTGACTTTTTTGGGTTATCCCAGGTTCTCTACACATATGCTGCTATGTATGATAATCTATGTAACTGTATTTGTGTATACCTGAATAAACTTACTTACACTTCCCCAGGATGCAGCCCACAACAACTGACTAACACAAGGTACTTATTTATTGCTAGGTGAACAGCTGTAGCAAATGAAAAGATGCATGACAACTTGCCCATCTCAACTCACCTAGGATTGAACCCACGTCCTCTTAGTTCTGGGCTTACCACAGAGCTAAAAAATTAATAAAAAATAAACCAGGCATACAAAAAATAAACCCTGTGACTGATGAAGTAGATCATCAAATTTATTAAAAAGGTATGTAGTATCCCTCAAGGGAATATGTACAAATAGGTTGCAGTATATATTAGTATCAACATGTATGAATAAACAGCTCGGTTGCCCATGGGTAACAGCATACTAAGATCCACTGATAAGAAACATCAATATGAAAAGCAATAAAGATATTATTAAACACTATTCATCAGTTCTCACCAAACCTATTAAAAAGCCAAACAATTGTATTACTCCAGTAGATTCACTGAAACGATATAAAAAAGACCTGGAAAACACTCATTTTCTGGGAACCCACAAATTGAATAAAAACTAGTGATATTGTCCTAGCTAAACCAAACGAAACATCACTACAACCTATTGATACAGTTAACGATATAAATGACTTCTTCTCAACCAAAGGATCAAATCTCGCCAGTAAAATCCCAGGTACCAGTGCCTGAGCAAGTGATTACTTAGATTACAAAACCCCACATTGTAATCTTTCCTGAGAATAAACTTTTGATTGGTTTGATTAATTGATTTACATGATTGATTGATATACATAAAGAAAAAAATTAAGACTACGTATTTTCTTTGGATTATAAACTCCAGAGGGCTATTTTCATACTGACTGCAATATTCTACCATAAAACAATGACAAGTAGTCATGACAAGCTAGGATCACCCAACAAAGTCGAATACAACGATTTACAGTGGACCCCCGCATATCGTTGGCATCACATAACGTTTAATCCGCATACCGATACATTTTATCGCTAAAATTTTGCCTCGCATACTGCTTAAAAACCCACTCACCGCTGTTCGTCCGAGACGCGTCCAATGTGCGCCTTAGCCAGCCTCACATGTTCCGCCGGTGGCATTGTTTACCAGCCAGCCTCCGTGGTAGCATCCAAGCATACAATCGTAACATTTCGTATTATTACAGTGTTTTTGGTGATTTTATCTGGAAAATAAGTGACCATGGGCCCCAAGAAAGCTTCTAGTGCCAACCCTACAGGAATAAGGGTGAGAATTACTATAGAGATGAAGAAAAAGATCAATGATAAGTATGAAAGTGGAGTGCGTGTCTCCGAGCTGGCCAGGTTGTATAATAAACCCCAATCAACCATCGCTACTATTGGTGGTACAGCTGCTGCTGCTGCACTGTCAGCTGCTGCTGCTGCTGTAGCATCGTCTGCTGCTGCTGTAGCATCGTCTGCTGCTGCTGTAGCACTGTCAGCTGCTGCTGCTGCTGTAGCATCGTCTGCTGCTGCTGTAGCATCGTCTGTTGCTGCTGTAGCACTGTTGTTGGTGTGGCTTATTGAGAATATACCAAGAAACAATTAACCCCAGAGGATTTTCCACCCAGGATAACCCAAAAAAGTCAGTGTCATCGAAGACTGTCTAACTTATTTCCATTGGGGTCCTTAATCTTGTCTCCCAGGATGCAACCCACACCAGTCGACTAACACCCAGGTGAACAGGGAAAAATGCCTGGAACTAGTGCTCATATTGGTGAATTTAAAGCCAGCAAAGGTTGGTTTGAGAGATTTAAGAATCGTAGTGACATACACAGTGTGATAAGGCATGTTCTGGAAGAAAATACCAAACAGGACCTACAGTACTCAGGAGGAAAAGGCACTCCCAGGACACAGTGTCTCATCAGTCATTGCTGCATCTTCAATAAAGGTAAGTGTCATTTATTCTTCATTTAGTAGACTAGTACATGCACATTATATACTGTGCATGTACTACTCTACTATTGTGCATGTATCCTTCTCTTTGTGTGTAGGAAAATGTATATTTCACGTGGTAAAATTTTTTTTTTCATACTTTTGGGTGTCTTGCACGGATTAATTTGATTTCCATTATTTCTTATGGGGAAAATTCATTCGCATACCGATTATTTCGCATACCAATGAGCCCTCTTGCACGGATTAAAATCGGTATGCGGGGGTCCACTGTATTTCCACTGGGATCTTCGTGTTTAGATTTTTTCCTTATTGTGAAGTTTATTTACATGTTTCTTCTCCCAACTAAGATTTGTGTGATATGGGGCATTCTGGCAAGGTGATGTTTTTAAAACAGATAACATAAAAAAAAATTTATATATATATATATATATATATAATAATATATATATATATATATATATATATATATATATATATATACAGTGGGGCCCCCGCATAACGATGGCATCACATAGCGATTTTTCCGCATACCGATTACTTTTATCGCAAAATTTTTGCCGCGCATACCGATTAAAAACCCGCTTACGATTTCGTCCGAGACGCGTCCAATGTGCCCTCACATGTGCCGGCCGTCCCATTGTTTACCAGCCAGCCTCCGCGGTAACATCCAAGCATACACTCGGAATATTTCGTATTATTACAGTGTTTTCGGTGCTGTTTCTGGAAATAAATGACCATGGGCCCCAAGAAAGCTTCTAGTGCCAACCCTGTGGTAAAAAGGGGGAGAGAATAGTATGGAAATTAAGAAGATTTTGAAGGGTTTGGGGCTAACCCTGAGAAGCCTATGCCAGTTGTGGAATCCATTGTGCCTACTTCAAAGATTAAGGAAATGTGTGCACAGTGGGTTGAACTGCAAACCTTTATAGATGAAAATCACCCTGACACAGCTGTTGCAAGCCGTGCTGGTGACTATTTCAATGACAATGTTATGGCCCATTTTAGGAAAGTCTTGAAGGAACGGGAGGTACAGAGCTCTATGGACAGATTTGTTGTGCGACAGAGGTCCAGTGACTCTCAAGCTGGTCCTAGTGGCATTAAAAGAAGAAGGGAAGTAACCCAGAAAAGGACTTGCTACCTCAAGTCCTAATGGAAGGGGATTCCCCTTCTAAACAGTAAGAAGATAATGCTCTCCCCTCCTCCCATCCCATCAATCATCACCGATCTTCAATAAAAGTAAGTGTCATTTAATTGTGCATGCCTTTTTCCAGTTTGTGTGTATTAAAATTAACATTTCATGTGGTAAAAAAAAAAATTTTTTCATACTTTTGGGCGTCTTGCACGATTAATTTTATTTCCATTATTTTTTATGGGGAAAATTCATTCGCATAACGATTATTTCGCATAACGATGAGCCCTCTTGCACGGATTAAAATCGTTAACCGGGGTCCACTGTATATATATATATATATATATTTTTTTTTTTTTTTTTTTATTAATCACACCGGCCGATTCCCACCAAGGCAGGGTGGCCCGAAAAAGAAAAACTTTCACCATCATTCACTCCATCACTGTCTTGCCAGAAGGGTGCTTTACACTACAGTTTTTAAACTGCAACATTAACACCCCTCCTTCAGAGTGCAGGCACTGTACTTCCCATCTCCAGGACTCAAGTCCGGCCTGCCGGTTTCCCTGAATCCCTTCATAAATGTTACTTTGCTCACACTCCAACAGCACGTCAAGTATTAAAAACCATTTGTCTCCATTCACTCCTTTCAAACACGCTCATGCATGCCTCCTGGAAGTCCAAGCCCCTCGCACACAAAACCTCCTTTACCCCCTCCCTCCAACCTTTCCTAGGCCGACCCCTACCCCGCCTTCCTTCCACTACAGACTGATACACTCTTGAAGTCATTCTGTTTCGCTCCATTCTCTCTACATGTCCGAACCACCTCAACAACCCTTCCTCAGCCCTCTGGACAACAGTTTTGGTAATCCCGCACCTCCTCCTAACTTCCAAACTACGAATTCTCTGCATTATATTCACACCACACATTGCCCTCAGACATGACATCTCCACTGCCTCCAGCCTTCTCCTCGCTGCAACATTCATCACCCACG